TCTCAGCGTTACCACACATTACAGCCAAATGGAGCGGCGGTAATTTATTCCGACCCGCAAAATCAACGTCTGCTCCCGTTGCTAGCAGCTTTTCTACTGTTTCTATTTCATCCTAGAGTAATGATAATAGTAAAAGTTAAATACGGAAGGTCGATGATGAACTTCACTATTAAAGATGTATTTTAAAGTTGAAATTTGAATGGAAAGATTCAGAAACACCTCATAGAGCATGAAAATAACGTATGAATAATTTCTTCTAAGCAAGAAAACAAGTAACATTCAAGCTCAGATATGCTTTCAACTTAAAATTATTTATCTGTAATAAATTGTGGAACGATAATCACTTGTCGCACAAAACAAAATATTTTGAATTTTATTACTCGTAAAAAATCGATCAATAACATAATCAATTAATTATGTGGATAACAAATTTTAAAGAATATTATAATATTCAAAATAGAAAGTACATATCAAATATGTCTTACCTTGTAGACAGAGAAATGAAGAGCAGAAAAGCCATTTTTAGAAAGATGTTTGAGCAGCAATTCCTTTCTCGTCTCATCATCACCAAACGCTTCAAAAAGAATGGCAACTTTTTCAGGTTGCTAAAATAAATTTTTTGAACTTAAATTTTAAAAAGACTAAGAAAGATAAGGAAAAACACTTATAACTGATTTTTGGCAAATGGTTAGAGACACCTCTTCCGAATATCCAGCGCAAATGAGATGCAACAACGATAACTGATGATCTTCGGTACGCTCATCTAAACTTTTCGAACCTTTCAACGATTCTTCCAATGTTTTCAGTGTACCCTGACTAAAAAAAACTCATTATTTTCTACTGTTAACAAGATTAATCGCTGTTCCTTATTTACCATGTTATTTTTGAGAAGAGTACACTCCCTGGAAAGATATTAAAACAAAAATTTTTTTCAATTTATCTAAGAAAGTAAGAATAAAAGTAACTTTTCGAAATTATCTGAACTTACAAGCATGTATTCTGTAGCACATTCCAAGCATCAAATCGTGGTTTAATATCATCATTCAATCTTGATCGTACCACGGCATATCCCTCACTGATTTTTTTCTTCAGTTCATCTATGGAAAGGAAAAACCAAAACAAAATTAACTTTCTGATGCGAAACTCTTTAAACAAATATTTTTTTGTTGGATAAATTGAAAAATTTCTCCTTAAATCTTAAATCTATTAAAAGTTAGTAAACTTCCTGTCTAATACAAAATAAATGAATGCAATATAACCTGCACATGAAGATGGTGGACGTGACTTGTAATTACCCATAATTCCGTGTAGCATCAAGAAATACTACGTAAAACATCAGGGATGCGTCGCGTCATCAAATACGTTGAAGAACTGTGCTTAAATATTTCAGTAAAATTAGAAGGAATCTACGCTTCGAACATTACAGCTCAAAGAGAAGGTGCTCGTGCTCAATGTATGTAACCAAGAAAGCAGTTCCACTCACACCTCACTATCTTCCCAAATCACTCTTCTGCAGCTGTCACGACTACCTCTCATTCTCTTTCTGTCTCCCTCTCTTTCTACATTGTGGCAGTGTATCTGCCATTAGTATAGCGCATTTAATCACGAGCCCTAAGCATTTCTGTAAGCTCGAAGGAGCGTTTAATATCTAAGATTTGCCCAAGGGGGGAATGGTTGTCGATGAAAGTTAACTTGGAACCTTCATGATGGTGATATCACCACCGGAAGTGATAGGAAGGAAACTTGGTGTGATATATTTCCAGAAATATATCAAATATGCGAGAGTGATACTTCAGCTGAGGTCACTTGGCTCTTGAATTAAATCCCACTTCTGACTTAAATAAGACTTTTATTAATAAGCCTACCTAAAATTATCTGGCGTATATGATACACATCGCACTGAATGACCAACCCAACTTGCAAAAACCATAGCTGAAGTATTTGAAGATGGAAACGAAAATTTTTGATAGTTGAAATTTGAATCGCAAATAGCTGATGACCTTTGTTGATTAGTGCAGTTGGACACCTGCTAATTATTGCAATTGTATACTCATGCTAATTATTGCAATCTAATTGAAAAAAAAAAACGAATCTTAGTGATAAGCAATAATTATGCTCTAATTCAAGAAATGACCTTTTCTTGGTTATTTACATACTAAAAAAGCAATATTTTCAGCATGACTTCTGAATCAGAAATGATCTCGATAATAGTACATGCTACCCAATGTTCACTATGTTAAATTGCTGATACGATGACAGAGAAAAATCCTATTTAAACTATTCGTCTTCAAAAGATGCCTTGGAAGGCTCAGGTCTTAATAATTTGAAATATTTTATTCTTTCATATCCGGCAAAATTCGAATCTTGAAATATTCAAAAAAACATTTCACCAATACATTTACTAAAAAAGATTTAACTGCTTTAATAATTTGCAGCATTTTGCATGTTCTAACTGTAAACATTAATTTCCTCTACAAAACATTTTAAATTACTGTATTCCACTATCCATTGAAATGATATAATTGTGCGGGAAAGATGACAAGAAACATAAATTAATCATTTTCCGTAAAACGATGCCAATTCGGAAAATAACAATTTCAAGTCAAATATAGCAAATTCGTGTTTATTTGTAAAGTAATAAATTATCAACAGAACATGTTTAAACTTCGAAGAGTTTGCGTAAAATGACTCTTCCCTGAAATAACATTATTCGCATGCTTGCAAAGGGGAAAATCATTCCTATTACCACCGTAGCACGAAGAATTTTAGTTAATATCTCCCTTTGATGGGACTTAAATGTGTGAATGTTGAAATCCGGTAGTTTGTTGATAAATTTGAAGATTAAAAAGCTAGTTTGAATTCAATATAAGAGATGCGCTGTGTGCTAGATTTGTTGATGTTATGAAGTTGTTGAAATTTATTTTTGAAGGTAATCAAATCTCTTATATTAGCACTGTTCCATATTAATGTTCCATATTAAATATACATCCGATAATGTCCAATTCACAAGCTAATTGACAACTTCAACACGATTTGTTTTTTGCACACATTAATTATACTGTTGAATATAAAGCAAAGCCGATAAATCACACTGTAATTTCCAATACTATCTCAATATACGGACAATATGGTCAGAAATCAGCTCTTAACTTCGGAAAAGGAAACAGATTCCGAAGTAGCAATAGAAATTGTTGTAATCCAACATAATCCCACTAATTTTATATCGCTTTATTGATTGTATGAGATATCGATACTTGCAATTTTTACGCGCAAACGTGCCAAGTTCATTTGCATTTAGATCAAAACAGATATAGGATAGGTGTATCCTAATGTTAATATTAATGTACAGAATAATCTTTAAGTATCTTTTAGTTTGTATTTCACTTTTTTTTAGCTCAATCGGTAATAGATGTTAGGACACAATGAAGATTGATGAAAAAGAAACTGATGAGTGACTGTTAGTGCATAAATTAGTAAATTGAAGTGTCTTCTAACAACATTAAAACAACTATAACATCAGAAATAACGAATGATCTGCAATTTGAACTTCTCCAATTTCATAGAGTTAGGAACGGTTGCAGTTATCACCTCCGTTTACAACTTCATGCAATTTTTCTATATTAAAACTTGAACTTAGGAAACTTTCACTTTTATTCACTATTCATTTAAATCCTTATTTCTAGTCAAAACGATCTCTCACAATTAAATAATAGGTACCATATTTTCCATTTGAAATGAAATACCTAAAGCAAGGAATACTAAACGTAGTTGCGTATTCTACGTTTCTCTTTACGTAATAGTAAACATGTACCATCCATGCACAGATATTTTAATCTGAATAGCAATAATATCATGAATTGTAACCTTGTAAGTCAGTGACTGCCAAATACTAAATTACTGCGGTTACTGAAAGCTTAAAATGAAATCATTTAATCTGCTTTCAATTTCAACTTCAAAAGTAAATATCAAAACTTTGAAGAAGCCAAACTTATTACCAATTTAATTAAAACAAGACATGTTAAAAGGATATAACACTATATAATACACATATGAACATCACATAACATCTACGACAATATTAAAAAGTATATGAGATATAAATGAATAAAAAGAAAAAATTCAAAAAAACCGAAAAAAAAACCGATTCCTGTCAACCGAATCATACTCGAAGCCACACAACCTGGAATACCGGAAGTGTCTAAATTTAACGAGAAACAATAAAAGAAATGTGAAATGAAAATCAATTACAAAGTAAAAATGATAAGTAAACGAAACATCAAAGATAAATAGTGAAGTAAAGTAAATGAGGCAAGAATAAGTGGGACAATGAGCTCTTGAAAAGTAACAGATAACAAATAACGATAAGAAATGGAAACTGAAGGGATACAAAGTGATACCACCCTCTATCAAACTGATAAATTAACACCGCAACTTTTTAGTAAACAAAGAATTGGACAAAGAAAAAAAGCACAGTAATCTATGGAAGTGAATAAATTATGAATATGGATGTCGTAGTGTAAGAAATGAAAATTTTCTCAGTTAACTGACCCTAGAAATCTATCAAGTATTTCATCTACTGGGCACCTACTAAAGAAATTCCTGAACCTTCAGCTATTTTCAATATTATTATTATTATTAGGATCAATTGGAAGGAAAAAGAAAAGTTATTTGAAAACTTAATTCATTAAAATTAGACAAATGGTAATAAAAAACTAGATAACAAATAAAAATGAAAAGAAAATCATTCACATAACCAATTAAGAAATTTCCTCAAAACAAATAAAATAAAAAAAAAGCTTTAACATGCCTTTTCTCAACAAATTTTCTTATAATAAACAGCAAAAAAGGTTACGGATAAGATTTTACTACATAGTACTTGAAGAGTGAATAACATCTAACATCGAACTCATCATATATAATGGATTTGTAGATTTATGCTTTAAAAAAATAATGAAAATAAGATAAAATGTCAGTTATGTAAGATAGTAGCAAATTTATTATTACAAATCGCCATCATCCTCGTAACTTTTATCACAATAACCGTTATCATGATAACCACTGAAACCAGCTATTCCAGACATTGCTGACATTATTTCCCGTTGTACATTGGTATTTACCGCAGTCTTCACTAGATCCGACACTTTTTCCAAAACACGTGATATTTGAAGCTGATGTTCCACTGATTTCTGAAATAATTTTTGAATAATTTAAAGCGGTTTAAATGATTTCAATTTCAGATGCATTAGTTAAATGAGTTTCTATGCTACTTTGCTTCCATCCTCACAACAATTCATCTATTCAATTATTGCATTTGTTTCATGCAAACATTAACCTATCATTATAAAAACATCGAACAAAGAAATGTAGGAAATGGATAGAAATTTCATTAAAATGTCTGCAGATTTAAATGGATAAGATTAAGAGATAGCCAATTATAGCAATTCCAATTATAACTCTAAAGGTTTGATAGGTCAAATGTACAATTTTAAAAGGTGATAAGCCATTTAACCTTTACTCAATCAGCAGTTAGTCGTTACCTGTAAGAGTTCATTTTTCAACTGTTTAATTTCAGCATCACGATCAGCAATAATGGCCAACAATTCCACCGATGATAGACCAGGATTCGCCGAAATACGCTGACCAACGTTACCAGCATGATTAACGAACCCTTAAAAGGGTAATTCACATTATATTATTGTATTATTCAGACATTGCAAAGGCGAATGAAAAAGATTATTTAAAGAAAAGGAAAAATTACTGAAATATCATTGCTTCAGCTATGTTGGATCATACAGTCACAAAGAATTGCCCTATCCTTCAGTATCGACAGGAGCATACTTGGGGTCAAGAAAGTCAGAATATTAATTTCTACTTGCAACATCTTAGAATTATTTTTCGACAGCAACCGTTAGTTGCTGATAAATGCAGTAATATAATTCTAATTTTTTAGCTTGAAACGTAGCACCTTCAGCTACTGTGTATTTTGAAAAAATACTTTTAAAATCCCGCTCTTAAGATACGAAAATTAACCATTTTTTAAATCGATATTAGACTTCCGATCCCTTGATGTTAATCGAGGTAAAAGTGTTGGTGAACCAGTCCTTATTTGAGAAGTACCAGTGGTAGCACCTGTTCCATTTGACACCGGAGTTATCAAACGTGTTAGCAAATCAGAATTACTCGATGATGCATCCGAATCCAGACTACAACAGGTGAAAAACAATCATAAATCCATTTTACTTGCTATGTCTAATAAAGCCATTATATACGCATCCCATAGCACATCATGCCACCATGGCATTCAATCAGGAGGTCAGCCGGTACAACGCCTATTAGACCCGAGTCAGGCGGTGTGACGCCTCAGATCCGGGTCAGCCGGGGCAACGTATTCCGTAGTACATCATGCCATCATGGCAAGATCCGGATCATCACACAATGCGCATTTCGTAGTACGTCATGCCACCGATCTATGGTAACCTAATTATTCGGATAATTTTTCTTTTCACATTTTAATTCTACCTTGCACTCCTACTTCCTCTTTTTGAAGAAATTAGAACTAACAGGAAGAGGAACTTACTCCTCCACGATTTGCTTTTTTTTAATTATCACTTACTCAGCCGAAGCAGCTCCATTAACGCTACCCGCATCGGATCGTGACGTACCACACGTACCACTACCATTGTTAGTAAAAGAAAGCAATTGAGATTTCCGCCTATAATTTGCATAAAGTTTCTTAGTTTGCTCTATAGTTAAATCACCCAGTTCGGATCCATACTTTTCATTGGTTGAATCTGTGATTTGTTTCCAAACTTGATTACGTTCAGCATTAATATGATATAACCTTAAATAATAATAGCAAATTATTATCATCGAAAGAAAACAACATTCATCAAATAATTTCAAATCAAAAACACATTGAATAAATGTTAAAGAAACAAATATATAAAAGATCTATTTAGTTGAAATACTGCCATGCGAACTTACTCATAGAATGAATGGTTAGATTTATTTTATTTAAATTGTTTAACTTAAAGAAAATTATCATTCGCATTATTTTTAAAAAATTAAAAAAAGAGAAAGGCGTCAAAAAAAGAAAGTCTGAAAAAAATTACAATTAACAAAAATTATCTAAAGGAATGAAAAGAAAACAAACTTCTCTTTTTGAGAGGAATAAGCTTAAAAAATATTTGAATAAAATATCTAAATGAGTTAAAGAATTGAGAAAAATTAACAATAGAAAGCAAAAGAAAAAAAAAAGCTTAATTAATGTGCAAGAAGTTAAATTATAAAAAAATAAGATAGACAATGAGTAAAATATAATCTAAAAAGAATGGCACACCTTGAATGGCTATCAAAGACGCCGTTGAATGTTTCAGCCAATTTACAAACATACTGTCCACGTTCCTTCTTTTGCTGATTTGCAATGACCGCTGCAGCAGCAACAGCTGAAGCAGCTTGTTGTCCAGGTAATACTAAGCCATCAGTTGAGCTGGCCGATGAAGATGCTGAGCTGAAAAATTACTCCATCCTAGCAATCATTAATTTCTGTTAATTTAATGAAAATTATGTTTCTCCTATTAAGTTTCTTCAAAAAAAATGGGTCTCGCACTCGGCGACATTTTAACACTCTCTTTATGTGAACTTGAGTTAATGGAGAACGAACTAAAATTTGATATTATATAGAACGAAAGAATGAGAAAGAGAAAGAGGGGTAAAGAAAGAGAGGAAAAAAGGAAAGAAAAATTATTTTAAATTAAAATCAAAAATGAAATAAAAATTAACCATTGTGCAAGAAACTGCAAGAGATCTTTTGATGGTTTATCATCTTCTCGTACAACATCTTCCATCGACAAAGGAGTAATCTCCTCGCCTTGCTTCATTTTTAACGTATCTAAAGATACCGCTCAAATAATTAATAATAAAAATCATCCATGTCGGAAATATCCGATAATTAAAATCTTATTTCAGAAGATCTTTTTTTATCGTATTTGATAAAATTATTGTAGAATTTACTAGGCTACTGTAATATCTACGAGATTTTTTACCAGAATCATTCATATAGCTTCTTTCAATCTTAATTTCAACTGAATATTCAACTGAACTGAATATTTCAACTGAATATTCGATAATGGTTGCCGAGAAATATAACTGCAAAATCGTTTCTATTAAGATCAAGAGAACTTACTTGCATCATAACAAATACCATCCACTACATCATTTGCTTCTAGTAGCTCATCGACATCGATCGGTTCATCAATTTGTCCATTTGTAGTTACATAAGCTGTCGCATTACCAGCTGCTGCGATTGCAGCTGCAGCTTGCTGATGTTGTTGTTCCTTATATGTACTTGGTATTAAATCGGAATGCATAGCATGAAATGCAAGTCCATAATTGGTCGGATCTTTGCGCTTGTAATATTTACATAATTTTTTGCATTGCTCGAATGTTAGCGTATTCAAATGAGAGTATTTTTTATTGATTTCCTCCGTAATTTTGCGCCAAATTTTATTACGCTCCATATTTGCAGCTGGTGAACGTGAAGCACTATCCTGCAAATTAGGAAGCAAAAGAATTTTAGAAAAGCCTATAAAAAAAATCCTATAGGTAAGAAATTAATTTAATCCTTATCAATAAATATTAACCTATCGTATAACCAGATAAAATGAAGATGTAATTTAATCTCATTAAATTAAACATAATTCAGGTGTATGGCAAAATTTTTTTCATTTTAAGTATTACTGTAAAAAAGTATGAAAAATTAAATAATCTAACATCAATGTCAACAAACTTACCACCAATGCTTCATATCGACCAGCCATTGCAACAATTTCTAAGCCTCGTTCACGATTCATACGATTGATATCTGCAGCGGTTATCAAAGGTGCTTGGCTATAATTTAATTATTATTTTCTTTTCAATTAAACAAATCAAATTTTGTCAAAAACGAAAAAAAAGATTCCAATCAATAAATGTTAGAATAGCTACGGTATATTAGCAATGCTTTATTCTCTTATATTTCCAATATTTCATAAGAAATTTAAATAATCAAAAAATTTAAGATTTTAAAAAAGAAAAAAAACAAAATAATTAGCAAGGACGAATTCATAAAAAATTCACATTGAGGAGCCAAAAACTTGTGCGAGCGATTTTTCATTAGCATGCACCAAATCAGCTGTATCATAAGGTGAAATGGTTTGTTCCGATATTGTATCCGTCGATGGTTGCCTTAAAAAACAGATGCCTTTTTCTATTCAATATCATTTCTGATGATATGTTATTTTCATTACTAAATTTGCCATTTTTATTTAGATGTCCACTTTATAGACATAATTAAATCTTCGCATTACATCAAATTTTATTACTATGAAAACTATCAATACCATTTGATGAAATATTACAAAATTTAAGATTGCTAAATTTCTTCCTTATGTCACAATTCAACATCAGAATGTCTGTTTTTTTCTCTATAGATGAATCTATAAATATAATTAATAAATATAATACGGAGTTTTTATTCCAACTTTATCGGATGCCTTCGTTTTTCCCATATCATTTTCTTTTGACTTGACTTCGAAAGTAGTATTCTTCTTCGCATCACTTGGCTTAGATTTTCCTGGCTTACTCCCTTTAG